ATCCTCCTCGTCCTCCTTATCCTCCTCGTCCTCCTTTTCCTTCCCGTCTCCCTGTCCGAACGCGGCGCCATACCCAGCCGCTTGTAGGCACAAGACGCGTGCACATTCTCTGTTACCGTAAGAACGGGCGGCGCGTGCTATGCTACCATCGCATCGTGCTGGCAACAAAGAGCAATGTTGAACTGATCCCGCCGCACCCGAGGCGGCCTTGGCGGCAACATGAGGAGTATTGATGCCAGGGCCGAAGAAAGCCGGTCGCAACGCTTCGGCCGTAGACCGCGATAGGGCGAGGCCGAGAAGACTCGCTGCTGCTGTTGCGGTGTTTATCTCGCGCTTTCTTCGACGATGGTTCATCAGCTGCTCCTCGCTCCTCGCATGAATCTTCAGTGGGTTGGTTGGTTCCCAAAAGGGGGTTCGTGGAATGAATCCGTAAGAAGACATACCTCTGCCCTTGCGCGTACCTTTGGGGGGGGGGAAAGTGCGCGTGGCAGCCGGCAACGAGAGGAGCAGCAGCATAAAACAAAAGCAGCTCTACCCACGCACAACAGCAGGAGCGACTACGATGAAGGCTCCCACATTGGCGGTAGTGTTGTATGCGGCGGGCACGAGTGCATTTGTGGGGACGCCCGTGGTGCAGCCAAAGGCATGTGCCACCACACGAGGGCACTCGTCCTCACAACCGGTGAGCCAGCAGCAGGAATCGATCGATACATGATTGCTGCGAGTATTGTGCGAGCTCTTGGTAGGTCCTGACACCAATACCGCTACTACTTCTCGCATCCTTTGGCCTTCTGTCGCCCCGCCAAGGCCTAAAGCATGTACCGCCTCCGCACCGGTGCCATTACCGTGGGCGAGCGTGTGCGTCTCTGTGTGTTGTCACCGCGCTGTTTTGGTAGGGGACGTTTGTCATGTGCTGTTCTGCGACCACGAAGTTGCGGTTGCCAAACGACCTTCAGGAGGTAATGGGTGCCTCGAAGTCAGTGCAAAACGTCCACCCCCTGACTATGTGCCTTGAAGGTGTTCAATCCTTTTGCCCTGCCTGTGCGTTTTCGTCGCCTTCGCAGGCCGTTGTTCGTAATGAGTTTTAGATCGGTTTTAGGTTTTTGTGTGTGTCAGCACCTCTGATTCTCGTCCGTCATGTGTTTGTAGTTGAACTGCCGTGTTTCCGTGTTTTCACTTGTGGACATGTAACGCCTTCCGTGTACGCCCAAAGTTGGCTCTTCTAGTATGTCCCGATGAGGAAACCGTTGTACTGCAGTAGTCTTGCTCTCTACAACACAGCGAAAGGTGAGAAGCCCGTCAGCAAGCTACGGCTAGATCGATGCAGTATGCGAACGATGATGTACTGTATGTTTCTTTGAAGTACTAGTCTACTGCTGTATAGTCTAGCCTCTTGTAGTTTTGGTCCTGTCCGCTGTGACCCCCCGGCTGATACGACAATGTCACCAGTGGTGGAAGGTGTTGTGTAGAATTTGGCGCCACACTGATAGATTGGACCTTGATTCAGTTGTTTTATGCTCAAAAGGGAAATCGATGCAGAGGTACACCTCTGAAATCACGGTGTGGCTCCTCCGCCTTACCCACATCCTTTTACCTCCCACCGCCCACCTCACCCCCCTCCTCCTTTACCAACCTCTTCACCGTGGGTGATATTCGTGGTTCTTTGGCAACGAAACCATAAACTTGTATTTATTGCCAGCTTCGCCTTTGCTTTGGGCCCTCGACCAGTCAGTCCCCCGCCAAAGAATTGTGATGCTGATTCACATCAGACCCTTTTGACATCAAAGGCTCACAAACGTTGGTCGATAAACACCCCTGCCGTGGAGCCCAGTCCATAACGGAGAAGAACGATATCGCCGCCCCGCCTGCTTATATCACCCTCAACGGTAGCAGTCAGAGGGCACGTAATTTGCCGCTGGTTCTGGTAAAGAAGTACGTCCCAAGCTTTGCACAATGCGGAACGCAGACACAAGTAGATGTAGATCAGGGATCACAATGGCCTTGGCCTTTGTCAAGCCCGTATTTTTTTCTCCCAAGTACATCAAGAAGACGGCCGTTGTACCCGCACAGTAGCTGTGGCATGCTTTTCTCTTGCTCTATGATGTGTATAGAAGTATCCGTGTGGGGTTGAAGGCCTCGTTGTTGCTCTAAGCAGATGTTCACAGTGCAGGCTCCCGGTACTTGCTGCTGCTGCTGCTGGTGCTGCTGCTGCTGGTGTCTTCCGGTGACAAAGGAGGCACCATGCACAGCAACACGACAGCAATTGCGGTTGTGCTACATGAAAGAGGCTAACTTGCAGCTCACCGGCAGTTGTTCACTGTTTGCAGTACAACAACTTCTTAGGCAATAACCTCCACGCAACCGTTCGCCGCGTATTCAGTACTCCCGCCGAACGCGGACGCACAACTGTTACCGCAAGATGTTGTGCATCTCGTCAACCGTTCCTTCCCTCCTCCTGCATAACATGCACACCCCCCACCCCCCACCCCCCACCCACCCCGTGCGTGCCAGCTCAAAATGGCGGTGATTGACACGACCAAGCCGCCTAAGGTGACGAAGCGCCCGGCGAAGCTGAAGGTGATCGAGGAGGTGAAGTCGCTGCTCGAGAGCTCGTCGATGGTCTTCGCGGTGCCCTCCTCGTACATCTCGGCCAACCAGGTGGTGGCCTTGCGAAAGGACCTGCCGGAAGGCTGCACGGCCAAGGTGGTTAAGAACAAGCTGATGCGCATCGCCAGCGAGGGCTCGCAGTTCGCGCAGCTGGCGGACGTGACCACCGGGGAGAACTTCTGGATGTTCGTGGAGGGTGAGGACAACCTTTCCGAGCCCATCAAGTACGTGGCCGAGTTCGCCAAGCAGTTCGACAAGGACACGGTGAGTAACGAGGAGGAGGAGGAGGAGGAGGAGAGCGTAACACTACGCACGCGTACGGTTGAGTCATCTGTTGTTATTATTGTGCCGACCTTGGTTAGCGTCGAGAGGCGAATTCCCTTCCTTCTTTTTTGTCCACGTGTTGCTGGTCGATGTGAGTTGCTGTTGTTAATGTTGTCCCGACCTTGGTGATCGTCGGGAGGCGCGTTTCTTTTTCATGTGTTGCTGTTTTGGGCGGGGGGCATGGGGAGGAGTTTTGAGTAGATGGTGGAAAACGTGCATCTGGGAAGATAGGCGCACCCTCTCTGTAGTAGTGTGATGGTGGATGTTTCGCCCGCCCAGGTGTGTGCTTCTCTGGTTGAGGCCACAAATCTACCGCCAGCACTGCTGGCGGTGCTGCAGTCGCTGAACGAACGGTACTCCCTCCCTTCCTTGTTGTGTTCCTCTCGCGCTGCTGTCGCGCGTCGGTTCACCCGCCCCATCTTCGTCGCCCGCCGACAGCAGCCGGGCTGGGGCGGCTCGCCGTTCAAGTCTGGCGTGTTCGGCGGGGACCTGCTGGACGGACCGGGGGTCGTGGCCATCTCCAAGCTGCCGACCAAGCAGGAGCTCATGCAGCGCCTGGCGATCGCGGTCAACAGCGTGCCCACCAAGCTGGGCAGATCGATCAACCTGGTGCCGACCAAGGTCGGTCGCGCGGTGAAGCTGGCGTTCGCGCCGGAGGAGGACGACGCACCAGAAGGGGACGCCGCGGCAGCAGAATAGGGAGGGTTAAATGTAGGGGGAGACTGGGCGCTCGGTTTTGTCGAAGGCCCCGTGGCCTGATTGTTTTGTGTGTTGGGGTGAGGGTAAGTCGTCTCTCGGTTGATGGCCGCCGCCCTAGAGATGGTGTTCGGTTGACTGCTTTAATGTGGACATTTTCAATCCCTTTGTGGCCAGTGTTTGGTTGTTCGAATGCCGGCCGACTGACTTGCCCCCCGTGAAGATTGGGACACGTTGGTTGTAGCTGACAGGGGCCCATTAGAGCTTCGAGAAAGGGCTTTTTCAGTCGAAGGCTTCTCACCGACGTGCTCGCATGGTTTCCTGAGTTGGTTCGTTATTGCCACAGCTTCCTTTCCATGACATGCACGGTTTGGTTTGGACGTGAAGGCCGCGAGGGGGCGGGTCTAGAGATGATGCAGCCGCCGTCTTTCGGTGGGTCGACAGGAGTAGCCTTCACGCACATACCTCTCTCCTACACCGAGAAACGGTTTATCGAAGGGAAGTACGGGGGCGAAGGAATTGTGGGGTTTTGCTTAGACTTGTCACAAATGTTTTTTGACTTTGAAGCCTTTGCACGATTTGACTTTTTGGATATGAGCCGTACCGTTTCCGCGACCTATCTTACGTTTGAAAGGTGCGGTTAAGACGGTTCAGCCAAGTCGGACGGAAAAAAAATGTCGCAAATTTGTATGTCAACCAATTGGTCGAAGGGGCTACAGTCCCCCCAAATAATCTGAGCTCCTTTCCAGACAAAAGGTCACTTGGCTTCAGTATAAAGTGTCACCAAAACACGTGGGGACGCTTTTCATACTAAAGGTAAGGCGATGAACATTTTCACTACCTAGGGGACACGCGGGTTGGGAGATGTGTACAGCAAGTCAGAGGCCCAGGAGAGGCACCACACAGCATTCACACAGCACTCAGTCAAGTATGATAGACCCAAGGGTTCTCACATGTGTTGCACGCAGCGGAGCCTAGGGTGACAATAGTGCATGCAGTAAACAAGCATTTGACTTCCCCGAAGTATCCCCATTTGGGCTTCCAGTACTAGGAGGGTTAAGACGGCTCAGCCAAGTCGTTCCAAAAGCAGAAATAGAGCGTTCGTCGTGCGCAAGGCCCAGCCTTTTTGAAAGGACTTTTGCTCTGGTGGGCACGAACACACGACTGGTAGATCAACTTGGCTGTTCGTGTTACGACGCGGCTTGAGATTGATTGCTCGCTTTTCCCTGTCCCTGGCACACGGCTGATGTCGCGCGGTGTTCCCCGGATGCATCAACTTAATGAGTGAGTCCATTAATCGGTACCACTTTCATCACACCGAAGTAAAATGAATGGTGAATTCTTGGCACCGTCTACCCAACCCCACCCCACCCCCCCGTGACGTGCGGACTACTGAGCGACTTCGCTCGCAAAAGGTAAAAATACACGACGCAGCAAACTAAAAAAAAAAAACATCTGCATGTGGTTGGGCGCTATTTCAACCGGCACTGGCCAAGGCAAGAAAACTTCTAAAGAGAGGTTACCAAGCACTAAATCCGTGCGTCCATCCATCCCATCAGCAACATTTTGCTGACGCTGTACAGCGGTCACAGCAACAGGACTGGGCCATCTGCCCTCTCTGCCGAGACGAAACGGCTACAGCAGTAGCACCGCAACCGAAGAACCGGATCAACAAAACAAATAACAGGAGGGTGTAGACGCACTCATAAAAAACAACACCCCGTAATAAGCGACCGAGGGCGGTGAGAAATTCCATCATGCAGAAGCCGAAGCAGGCGGTAGAGAGGCCACGTACTCCCGCACAGTCTGTATCTGTGCTGTCACGGAGCTGCGGCTAGTTCCACCCGGGGAGTTCTTCCGTTCCACGCTGGAATACAAAATAGCACCGTCGGGGCATGAGGAGGGCGGGCGTACTCATGAGCTTCGAATGTTCCAAATATCCTTCAACATCATCAGGGGGGGATACGGGGATGGTGATGATACCGTGGATTGAGGGGGGGTGAGGGGGGGTGATGGGGTTCGGAGGCAGCGTGGTCACACAGACAAGTCGTGTTTTGTATGCGCGGCAGTGTCAGACGAGACCGAACGAACGGTTCGCTGTCATGTCAGTGGGTTAGCAAGGGGTAGTTGGGATGTCTCTATCCACACAATAATCGTCATGATATCTCACCAGGTCTCAACTACCAGAAAGAATAAAAAGGACGGTGACCACACCAAGCTGGACCGCCAAGTTTCAAGGTGTAAGAGTGTGCGGACTCTAACACAGTGGATTGCTGAACCGGATCGATGCCTGCAGTGTCAAAACACCCATATAGCTCAACCAAGAAGGTGCTGAATGGAATTCGGACGGACTCGGCAAAACACCCATCGCGAAAACACGTTCTACGCACACACCATCACACACACACCTGGTCTCGTAGTTCCAGACGTCCTGGACGTCGTCCTCGAAGGCGCTGTGGAGTGTGCGGAGGTCTGCCGGGGTGAGCGAGTCCAGAGGTACCCCCCGGTCCTCGGACATCTTTACCGCCGCCCCGGAGATGTGGTGCGTCTCGCGGAAAGGCACCCCCTGTGCGTTACAGTGGTGAAGATGGTGATGCGGAGCTAAGGTGTAGTGTTGTGGGCGTGGTTATGATGTTATGAAGTCCCCAAAACTGAAAATAATACAAAATATATAAAAAAACAGAAAAGGCTCGAAGACAGAAGAACACGAGAATATTAAGTAATAGTCGTTTCTTGAGTGAACTGCTGTAGTGTTTGAGCGGTAAAAGTGATGATTGGTCACGTCGTGTTGGTGACCACGTGAAAGGGGTAAGGGGTGGGGCGGTCGCAAGGTGTCAATGGGATCATTTGCACGGTCGTAGCCGCCCACGAGTGACATGGCATGCACGCCAAAAAAGCGCTATAGTATCAATACGGTAGGGTAGCCAGGAGGACGGGGCCGGTTGAACCTTCCGACAGTTGACCGCACCTCACCAAGAAGATAAAAACATGCCATGTTGTGCATCAGCAACGTTTACGCGGTGCCGCTGAGACGGGCAGGAAGTAGCCTGCCTCCTCTTCCTCGTCCTCTCTGTGTGCACCCCGGGACCACTGGTGAGGTGCACCGTACGAATGCGGGCGCACGCACAGGTGTGCGATGAATTGATTAAAGCTCGATCCCTCCACAACCGTAAGAGGTTACCAACGCCCGAAAGGGTCGTTTTTGACCGACCACATCCCGAGAGAGAGAGAGAGAGAGACAGACAGACAGACAGATTTCCTTGGACGTGTCTATCGTCCTTCGATAGCACCCTTGTGGTGGTGGGAAAATCGATCTCCAAATCCAAATCGCACACCTAAACCTTCGCCCGCACTTCGGCGGCAGCATCGCCAACTTCACATCCTCTCTCTCGCTCTCTTTAGTCTACCCCCTGCCAAAGAGAGAGAGTGCTTCCTTCTCCGAAACTCTCCCCGATCCCCAACCCAATATCGTACACACACACCTTGCGAACAAGGTAGTCGGCGAGGTCCGTCGCCAGCATCTCGGGCACGAGCTGTGCCCGGAGGTTATCGGCGTTGGGTGTCATGGTGGCCACCACCCCGGCGGCGATGCGGAGGCAGTCGTGCACGGTCTCGACCGCGTCGAAGAGGGGCTCCTTATCCTCCTGCAGGTCCTTGTTGTACGTGCGTGGGAGACCCTGGGATACGGGTGGGGGAGGGCGGGAGGGAGGGAGGAACAGGCACACAGTATTGTTTTGTGTAGGGGTAGTAGTGTAGGCAAGGACGCGGGAGGTAGTGTGTAGAGACCCTGGGAGACGTGTGAGGGAGGGCGGGAGGGAGGATAGCACACAGCATTGTTTTGGGTAGAGGTGTGTGCGTGAGGACGCGGGAGGTAGTAGAGAGAGAGGGAGAGGCAGAGAGAGAGAGGTGCGGGGGTCAGGAAGCGGGGTGGGTGGTTGTGGGTTGCTTGCATTTTCATCGGGACATGACCGACCCGACGATTTTTCGAGAATCGTCGGCTGGGGCAAAAAAGGAAAACGTACGGACCGCATGCATCACCTCCTACGCGGCTGTGCACCTAGAGCACGAGCAGTATAAGCGTCCTGAACAACATCACCACCACCAACCGTACCTTTAGGGTAGAGAGGAACCCCGAGAGGTGCCCCGTGATCCTGCCGGCCTTGCCCCGAAGAAGCTCTAGCGCGTCCGGGTTCTTCTTCTGCGGCATGAGGCTGCTGCCCGTGCTGTACGCGTCCGAGAGGGAGACGCCCTTGGTGTAGTTGTAGATGATCAGGTCCTCCGCCAGCTGGGAGAGGTGGGTCAGCGTCAGGGACGCCCACCAGAGATACTCCGCCACGAAGTCTCGGTCGCACACGGTGTCCTTTTGGGGGGGATGGGTGGGCGGTTCAGCGGGTCGTGTCACGATGGTTCCCGGGCATAGTGGGGTTTGTGCGACTAGACGGTCTCCTCAGCTCAATAGGTGCAATTATGCAGTTTCATTAACACCCATGAAGGATGAAACAGCGAAAGTTGATGTACGAGACAAGTACACCTGGTCGCAACATGTTTTGCTGTCCTCACCGTTTGTCTCCCAGATCGCGAGTATGGTCTACAGGTCAAGTGCAAGTTAGGTGGTGGAAGTCCGGCTTGTGTATAGAAAAAATTCACAAAGGCTCTGCCGATCGATTCGCATATCACGTTGTTCACCAACATCAAATAATTGGCGAACAGGCATGCACGGCACCAGCATTCCTACCATACAAGCCTTCGGGCACACCACATACTCGCCAACATCGACTCTCCCTCTACCTGGACGATAGTGTCGGGGGGGGCGTGCGGTAGAGAGAGGGATAGAGGCTGCACATGTGAGCTTCTCTACAACGCCGTGTGTGCTGACTACATTGTCGAAGAGCACGAGAGACACACGAGCAGGTCAAGCGTGACAAAAAGCACATGCGCATCACCATGCTGTTGAGGGTGATGCCGTCGAAGCCCATCGTTTCCCGCAAAAACTCCCTGTCGATGCCGAACGCGTGCCCGGCCAGAGCACCGCACCCCAACGCCAGAGTATTCACGCGAGGGATCATATCTTGCAAGCGCTATATGCAACGAGCAGACCCGGTCGGTGGGTGGAGGCGGCGGCGATTGCGTGGAGGTGAGGTGAGCAGGAAAATGGGGCAAACGAGGTGTGGCGGCGGCATGTATTGACGTCTTGTATCAGGGACCTCGCTTTTTTTAACCTGTCAATGCATCAACTACGCGCAAAATGTCTCACCCTTCCTCCTGCATGGAACGAATCTCTACACCTGGTTGAGTGGGGGGGGGGGGGNGGGGGGGGGGGGGATATTCTCGCATTTTTTCATGCCTTACCGGGTAGAGTATTGGCAACGCGTCCTCGAGGAACGGTGGGGGGGTGTAATCATACTCATATAGTCGTGCATGCCGTAGTCGGTAGACCATTGACTTCGCATCCCTACAAAGCCGGGACGGAGCACGCCGGGTTCTCACCGGACCAGGCTCTCACATCACCAAGCGCAACGCGCCGTGAGGTACTCGGCGAGTCGCATGAAGGGTGCGCTGCATCCTCCTAAGGGTGTTCGGCATCTTGTGCTTACTTCCTTGCGTACGGATGACAGCTGCGTATGACTTAATTTATTTTCTGGTGCTTTCACCTCCAGAGACAGTCACACAAGCACTGTGTAACTGCCTCGATGGTGCTTGACCAATTTAACACAACGTGGAGCANACTCGGCGAGTCGCATGAAGGGTGCGCTGCATCCTCCTAAGGGTGTTCGGCATCTTGTGCTTACTTCCTTGCGTACGGATGACAGCTGCGTATGACTTAATTTATTTTCTGGTGCTTTCACCTCCAGAGACAGTCACACAAGCACTGTGTAACTGCCTCGATGGTGCTTGACCAATTTAACACAACGTGGAGCAATCGTCCCCCTTGCGCGGAGTGAGGGTTCTCCACCCCGCACAACATGATCCACTCGACTACCAGTATGGTTACCGCCCAAAGAAAAACAGAGGTAAAAAAAAACGGTAACCTGGTTGCCGAGCTCACGAAGTGAATTGGCTTGTTTTACAACGTCGTTGCCAAGCGACGAAAACCCAACCCCGATGGCAAACACCGGGAGGGGGGGTTGGGGGAGGCAAAAAACGGCACTCGAAGAGACACTCAACCTGGAGATGTAATTTTTACCTGGCAATCTCGCTGGAGAGCGGCAACGTGTGACATGAGCCAGTGGCTAAACCTCACGGGCTGGGCCGGCTGCAGGTGGGTGAACCTGCAAGAAGAGTAGATCCAGAAGAACATGCGACACGATAAGCATCATCCGGCGCCCAAGCAAAAAGATGGAGAGAAAGGAAGTGTGGTGAGGGACGAGGGCGTTTAGTTTTCGGCATCTGTAGTGACTTGAGGGTTATCAGGCGGACGTTATGTCCACACAATACATGGGTGCTTATCATTGGTGGCAACGTTCTCTACGCGGAACTGGCTTCAAAACCCCGCGAGCGATACAGCAGAGTAGCCTGGTCGCCGCTTTGACGAGCAAAGAGCGCAAAAGAGTGGTTTTCCCAACTTGCAAGGCACGACAACAACAGCAACAATTACCAACAGCAACAACAACAAGCGCTCACCCCGCCATGAGAACATCGATGTGAGTCTCCGCCGCCTCGCAGCAGACGTGCATAAGGGTAGACATGTCCTGCGTCGCCTGCTTCACCTGAGCGCGCAGCCACAGCCGCGTGTCCAACACGACCTAAAAAACCAATGTCCAGCGGGAAAGGCATGACAAGAAGAACACTCGGTGAGGCCAGACCATGAGCGGTAACACCCGGGTTGCACATCAAAGAGCGCAGAATCGCGATCAAAGTCAGCCGTCGGAGGAGGGGAGCGGGGTGGGCAACGTTGAGACTGGCAGCACCTCCGTGCCCTAGTCCAATGGACTAGAAGACTAGAAGGCTAGAACGGGATACCGACACGTGACGTTCGTGTGGTCGCAACCGCTCTACAAATTAAGGACGCAGCAACGGGCGACCGCCGACTCGGAAGCACGGATGCAGGAAAGAATGAACGACCCGCGAACGAACGCCACAGGACAAAACCGTACAAGGAACACCAACTATCGAGACCGTCGGTAAACTCTCTGCGTGCTTCATGATTTATCCCGAGATATCAGCAGCAGCAGCAGCAGCAGCAGCAGCAGCAGCAGCGGCAGCAGCAGCTGGCTGTGGGTGGGTGGCACATTGACCAATCATCGGGGACGGGGACCCCCACCTGGTCGTTACGACTGCGGCCGGTGTGCAGCTTCTTTCCTGCCTCCCCCGCGACCTCGGTCAGTCGCCTCTCGTTCGCCGTGTGGATGTCCTCGTCTCCCGCCTTGAGATTGCGGCAGGGGGGGAGGCGGCACCGACGTTTTATGCTACACGCACACCGACAGTTTCAGCCAAGGGGAAGACTACAAAGAAAGGACAAGGAAAACCGCCACAGAAAAGACGGCGGTGATATCGATTCGGCGAAGTACGGCTGAGGGCTCGCAGGCATCGGCTGGTCCCAAACAAATCTAGATCGCGATCACTTCCGGTCGTTTCTTGAGTGCTGGATCAGACCGAGCCTCTACGGCACGAACGATCGACTCAAGAAGAGCAAGCAGACAACAACAACAGCAACAACAACAACAACAACAACAACAACAACAACAACAACAACAACAACAACAACGAAGCCTACCGACACCACGAGAGTAAAACATACTTCACCCCGCGCGTTTAAAAACTCACCACGACCTTGAACTCCCCCGCGGCCCACTCCGCGCGGACCTTGTCCAGCCCCTCGCATATCTCCTCCGTCTCCTTGTCGGTGAGGATGCCGGTCTTCTGGAGGGCCTTCGCGTATGCCTCGCTCCCTTCGATGTCCTGAGACCACATGCACCTGTCCCGCAACGCGATTGAGGGCGAGACGATGGGACTCCGGCGTGTGAAGCACATTGATATTCTTGGATGAATCCAGCAGCACTTTTTTCTTGTAGGAAATACACACACCCAGAAAGACTGCGACATGTACTGTGTATGCCATATCTTGAGTCGAAGGGGGGGTGTTGAAGTCTTGCACAGAAGTACGTGGGGAAAAAAACATGGGGAAACAAAACTGTCTGTTTCTCGCCGTGCAACCTCTTGCTTACGGTGGGCTTAGAAAAATAAATTCAAACACAGAGAGACTACCCGTTCGAGGTGTAACCACAGCAGTCGAATCGGATGTGTTGGGAGTCTCTAAAGGGGAGTGTGGGATGATGCTGCACAACGGTCAAGATCGACCGCCGCGGGCCCAAACACAAAACACGAAAATGTACGCATGCTGAGCGGGAACGAGGCAGGCAGACCAGGAGCGGATAATACCTAACGCTATGAATACGAAAACCCAGGTATGAACAGCGATACAGCTGGCCGGCCGTTGCACCAATTTAAGGATGCATCACAAGCAATGATGTGCACGATGCTCCCTCACGCATGGAACAATCACATCACACCGCAAGTTACCAACGGAGGTATCAGTAAGGTTGTACCTGTCGAATCTAAGGGAATCGTTGAACTTCTCCATGACGGGGTCAGTGTCCGTGCGGAATCGACCACCCCACAGCCGTGCTTTCTTGACTTCCTGCTTGGATGGTCATCGTCAGCCGCAGGCGACGGCAGGGTGAGCAGCGTGAAACAACGCGTTGTGCGGCTCTAAACGAACCAGAGAATCCACAGGTCGGTGATACGAAAAATGCGCGAAATACATGATCCGTAACTTTACCCTCCACAGCTTGGTGCACCACGGTGATGCCTCAAATCATATGTGCCACGTTGCCCACCTTATCGCCAGGCATTGTGATTTCTCTGATTGACGTGAGATAGGCCGGTGAGTGAGCAGGGCGTAGGGCGGCTGCCATCGAGAAGCACTTCAGGAGGCTCCGCAAAATCGATTTCGGCGCGGTGTGATGGCCCTCTGGCGGCACAATATGCTCAAGTGCGGCCCACCGCTGCTCCCTTCTCCGACGCGGCAAGCCAGCGCACACGCACAGCTCCACAACAAGCCTGTCGTTCTCACGTACGTGCTCGACATGCCCAAGCATGGGTTCCTCACGCCGAAGGCGATCAGCAATCGCATCAAGGCCAAGGGTCTGTGCAAGCTGCGCTGGTACTGCGAGATGTGCGTCAAGCAGTGCCGCGACGAAAACGGGTTCAAGTGCCATCAGACAAGCGAGGGTCACCTCCGGCAGATGAGAATCTTCGCCGAGAACCCTGAGGCTGTGATGAAGCAGGTGTGCGCGGGTGCGGGGGGGCGCATTGACATTGTTGTTGGTTGTCGAGTGTCGGCGTGCCGTTGTAGCTGTTTGTTTTGGATTTTTGTTTTGGTACAACACAGGTAGTAGCAGCCCTGGGAGGTCTACTGCTGTAGACGTCTAGACTGCTTCTGTACATCCTCGACAGCATTCTAGACTGCGCATGTCGAGCGATGTATTAATATTTGCTCGCAAACGTAAGTGGTATTGTTGAGCGAGGTAATCGAACTGTACTCTGAATGCGTTTCGTCGAATAGCATACACATTTCGGTATCTAGTCAAGACGCACGAATGAAAGTTTCGGGTTTGAGTTGCAAAATGCATCCCCAGGGATTTTGGTTTCAGAGCGCGGCGTGATTCGACCAGTCGTGGTTTTCGAGCACTTGCACTTTTGAGGCGCACCTCCTTCACTTCTCAGTCCGGTCCACGCAAAGGGATCTACGAGAATGCCATGGCTGTGACGAGTTTCTTTTCACAGCAGTTTTCGAGTTGTTCTGGCTCTCTCTCCCCCCTCCTAGAAAGACATTCATTTATAGCATTGGGGAGCAGACAGGCAAGACAAGGTCTACATACAAGAGGGAGAAAACTCGGGCAAGAGAGGGAGGGAGAGCGGTGTGCCCCATACCGACGTAACCTACATTGTATGTACCGGTTCTGGTTAGCCTACCATGTAACTGGCCCTGCAATGTTTTCAGGTTATGTTGTGGCTAGTGTAACCCGTGCTTTTGTTTCGGCCGTCGCTCGCGCGACAATGTGCTTGGTCTCAATGCTTTGTTTGGCAGTACTCGGAAGACTTCGAGAAGGAGTTCCTGGACGTGCTCAGCAGGCGCCACGGGACCAAGCGCGTGCGGGCGTCGCTGGTCTACAACGAGTTCATCGCGCACAAGACCCACACCCACATGAACTCCACGCACTGGGAGACGCTGACCTCGTTCGTCCTCTACCTTGGAAAGGTGATGTGCCTGCCTGCCTGCTTGCTTGCTGCGCTTGTTGTCATACGGGCGTCCTCGAGTCGGCAACGTTCGTCTGGACGCCCACTCGCCGATTCGCCGTGCTCAGCGCTTATTATACCTTGACGTGTGGGTAACAACCGCAGTGCAGTCTTGTTTTTTGAATAAAATCACAGTACAAGAGGACCATACTCGTCATATTGTACTACTTTTGCCCTCGCCATGCCATTGGTACGACGAGGTACCGTATCTCCTCGATAGAGTTACCGCCGCCGAAAGGAACGGTGTGAAGCGCGGAGTATTCGATTCAGGGTACTGACGTAGAAACACGAACGCTGAAACCTGGTTTCCAAAGTTTCAGAGAGATCAAGGGAGGGAGGGAGGGGGTCGAAGAAACCGAGAACGAGCAAATGAGAAGAAATTGGGACACAACACGCCAAGAGCGGGACAAGACATGACATGCAGTACGTGAAACACATCGTGAAATCGGTGATCTGGCGTGCATACATGTCTTTATTTCAGCAAATCTTACCCTGAGCCGTACTCGAAAAACGATAACCAGGTAAAGAAGGCCGTCGTGGACGAGACCGAGAAGGGCTGGTACATCCAGTGGGTGGACCGAGACCCTCGCTTGCTGGCGATGCAGGAGGCCGCCGCCAGGAGACAAAAGTCCGATTTAGATGATGAAGAGAAGCAGGTGAGCCTTGTGTGTGTTTTTTTTTGCATCGACCGCGCTGACCAGTGAAAATATGCAAGTCTCAGCGCGGTTGAAAACGGAAAAGGCCATGAATGTGTGCGTGAGAAAAGAGAAGGAAGGCATTTGGTGTGTGCTTCGTGTCTAATGTTGCTGGGTTTGAGTGTTGTTACGGTGGTTCTGAAGAGCAGAGAAGACAACCAAGACCTTCTTGAGAGAGGTCACACCAACAAGTTCAGAGGCAGGGCGACGCCCTAGCGTTGTGTATACCGCCGATGGGGATAGGAGAAGATATGTACTTTTGCTGTTAATTTTCACGTGCTTTCTAGTCATTCCATCAAACGCCCTCTTTCTACTGCTGTAGAGCTGTTGTCGAGGTGAGCACGGACAAGAGATGCATGCATCGTCTGTGTGATGTCTATCCAACCAAAGGGTATAGACCCAGAGATGCTTGGTGCGGCCTTGCCTGCGTGCCTCCCCCCCCTCCCCCGCCGGGCGCTGTGGTGAAGATTTCGGTTTTGTACGAGAGTAAACAATTTTAATTTTCGTCTTGTGTCTTCGCTTGTTCGAGTTTGGTATCAATGAGGCGTGTCTGCTGCGGCATGAGATTACCCCCGTACATTCGTCCTGCCCTTTTCTAGATACTTCCAAAATACAATCGGTTTTCCTTGTCACACCGGTGCGTCGTGTTCCTTCCCTCTTCATCTTCCGCTCTGCACCGTTGTCTGCCACTACCAACCACCTCAACCACTCCATTTAACTCCACCCCCACCCCCCCCAACCACCTCCTCCATACAACTCCACCTGAACACTACTCCTAACAACTCCACCGCCACCACCTCAACCACCTACTCCCTACAACTCCGCCGCCGCCGCCGCCGCCGCCTCCGTGCAGGCAAGGGCGATCGAGAAACAGATACAGGCCGCGAAGGCCCGCGATGAAGGCCGCGCCGACACCGACGCCGCCGCGGCGGGCCCGACAGAGCTCCGCCGTGAGGAGGGTCAAGCTTCCCTCCGAATAGGCCTCAAGTCGCGCGCCCAGACGTTCGTGCCGGGCGGGGGTAGCGGCAGCGACCTCACCACCGCCGCCGGGAATCTGGTCGCGGCGAACGGCGGCGGCGGCGGCAGCAGCAGCGGTAGCGGTAGCGGTGGCCTGTTGAAGAGACCGAAGCTGTCGGGTGCTTTCGGGGAGGGAGGTGCGGCGGCGGCGGCGGCGGCAGGGCCCGTCAAGGGTAAGGGGAAAGGTGCCAAGCGGAGCGTGATGGAAGTGATGATGGAGCAGGAGAGGGCGAAGAAGAAGGCGAAGGAGGAGGAGGAGGAGGAAAAGGCGGCGGCAGCGGCTGAGGTTAAGGCCAAGGATAGCAGCAGGAAGGACTACTGGCTGCGGCAGGGCATCGTGGTGAAAGTGATGAACAAGAGGGTCGGAGGTGGCAAGTACTACAAGAAGAAGGCCAGGTTGAGGAAGGTCGTCGAGCGGTACGTCGGAGAGGTGAAGATGATCGACTCCGGGGATCGCCTGAGGGTGGACCAGGATGACCTAGAGACGGTAAGAGCGGTTTTACTTCGATGTTGTTGCTGACACGTTCCGTGTTTTGCTTTCGTTTTGTGGCAAAAGTCTTCAAATCCCCTTATTGTAACGTGGGAGGTCGATCAGAAAAACGGGTCGTATAGGTAGAAAAGAGGGGGAGGAAAAGAACCCGTGCGTACATCGGGGTGTGGGGGCGAACGTTCCTTCCGAGTTGTCGCATTTTTTTCGGAACATATGCGGCTTCGGTTTGAGGCATGTTTGTGGACTTTCGTTGGACAGATCGACCCACGTGTTTTGATCGCCCACACCGTTTTTTCTTTTTCAGTTCATCCAGGTTGAAGGACCAGGAATGTCCCCCGCCCCCCCCCTACCCCGATTTTCCTCGCTTTCATGTCTCCCAGGAGGATCCGTTTTTTCGTCGCCTGTTTCCCTGGAGGACCCGTCTCTCATTTTTTTTGGGCCCCTGCTCCCGCACACAACGCCACCGTTTTCTCTCTTGCACGCGTACAATAACCCCTTGGCATGCATGTCGCCGCCGCCGCCACGATCCAAAACCAATCACCAGGTCATCCCCGCGGTGGGCGGCGAGGTGCTGGTCGTCAATGGCCGGTGTCGCGGGGAGCGCGCAACGCTGCTGTCTCTCGACACCGAAGCCTTCTCCGCCAGCGTTAGGATAACGAGCGACGGCCCGGACCTCGGCACCGTCCTCGACAAAGTGGAGTACGAGGACATCTGCAAGGCTGTGCCGGTGTCGGAGGCTTGAACTTTTTTAGGGAATATATATGCATACTATACAAAGAAAGAAAACCCGTTCGAGAGTCAACCGATGTCGAAGGGGATGGATGGCATCCCGCGGGCTCTCAGCACGGCAGGGCGGGGTTGGGGGGGCACCGGACGCACGCACACCGTAAAAAGAAGACGTTCGCTGCGTTGCGCGGAATTGGCAGACCCTTCTCGATGACCATGCGTTTTTGTCGGCCACGTTCTCTTTCTCTCTTCCCCCAAATTCGTTTTTGTAAAGTTGAGGTTTGGGTTCTGTAGCAGCAAATCACCCTCCTTGCGTCCTAACCGGCCTAGAAAAGAATTAACACAGTCGGCTTTCCGGAGAATAAGATTCCGCGGCGGGGGGGGCGATGCGGACGGTAGACGACTGCGGGAAAAAAGCAATCACGTTGCGATGAGAGCCGGGCGTTTGCGTTACACAACTATGGTCAGTTTTTAGCTTTGCCGCCTCCTTCGCCCAGATTGTCGGGTGTGCTTTGGGAGGAACAGGGGATGGCTGGGCCACCTCATGGTCACCATCTGCTTTTCATCCCGCCGTAGCCATTTACCAGTAGTCTATAATGTTGAGGTGGATGAGACAGAGGAGTAAAGAGAACGCCCGCGCTTTTCCTCCCTTGGTGGAGTCTGCTCCTTCCGGCCGAAATCTGGTCTACCGACGTCTGGCTTGGTGGTTCATGACGTCATCCAGTGTGCCTTGCGACGCCACAGTTGGAAGTTGATGATGGAGGCCAAGCGCCGCTGTTCGTGGAAGTGTGAATACGTGTTTTGGTCGGCTCCTGACGGCGTGTGAGTATTGTATGCGTACTACGTTTTCCGTTGGTTGCTGACAGAACGTGTTGGAATGCTGCGACAGCAGAGGCATCAGCGCCATAGGTAGAGGCTCCTGCTCGTGTGTTCCGCCGTGCCAAACCTGACGAGATTCATTCCTCTTTTGTTGTTGGAGAGGCTTCAGGTTTTTGTTGAGAATGTTGTGCCGGCGTCGTGAAACGAGTAACGTATGATACGATGTTGAAAGCCTCCAAGAACCTGTGGTTTTTGTTACGTGACAATCAATCAACTAGACGCATCATGTGTGCTCTACTTGTTGCCGCGCTGAGTTCATCCCGGGTGGTGGCGAAAGAGCAAGAAGAGCAATATATGCGGTATGTAGCCGGTGGGACAAAAGACACGGGGCAATTACGGCGCTCCAGGGAGTGGACTGCTTCGTCAACGCCTCGGATCCTCGAGCCGTGGTGAATCTGAGCTAGTAAACCATGCCGTGTACTTGCGATAATTACCTCCCAATCACCGATTAACACAACAACACACGCGTACCCCAACAAAGACTCGGTTTCGCATGTTGTAAGCTTTCTTTGTGGCGTGCGGATAGAGATACCATGTGGCTGGGCCCTCCCTCTGCGTCGGGCACTCTAGACATAAGCTGCCGAGAGATTTTTTCGAACGTTTCGTGTGATAATGTAAATAATATCATATCTGGTGTATGAATTTTCACACGTAGCTTGTGAGCACACTCCGAACTCGGCAACACCAGGTGCTAAGCTTTTCACACCCTGTCGAATGCTGTTGATTTCGGCCTTGCAGCTAGCATAACAAAAAGGGAAACTTTCACTTTCTCGCCTCCATTTTATTTCAACAAATTGGGCACACTGCTGATCGTTGTGTGTTCGATAAGCGTTCTATGCATATCTCCATGCACCACAGCCACCTCCAAACGAGAGGGTGTAACTTGCCGTAGTCCTAAAGATCCCCTATCAATGTGTAAACACTGCTACTGCCTCAAACACAACATGAGCACACAAGAATCCACGCACCCCTGAGCATCCCGCTGCGCCTTTTCTCTCGATGTTGCGGTGCCCCCTTCGTACCGATAGCGCAGCATGATCTTGCTTGACCACAACTGCATAGAACGATACGAGAGACAGAGCCGAGCACAATGCCCCCAAAGCAGAAGGCAGTTTCTTCCGGCGTTATCCCGTGCAAAGGGAAGGGAAAGGGCAAGGGAAAAGGAAAAGCCCGCCGAGTGAATGGCACAGCAGCAGTCGCTAGTTCCATCGAAGATGCTGCTGCCGTTCCCGCTCTAGCCCACAAGCGAGGCACCATGACCGAGAAGGACGCTGCTGGTGCGTACTGCAGCAAGTTTGTGCAGGGGTATCTCCTCCGCTGCTGCACAAGCCGTATAATATGTGGGGAACACACTCGTTGGGAAGTCTAGATCAGGAAGGTCATCAAGAAGGTCCCCAAAAGATAGGAGTCTCTCGCCGCGTCGCGAATTCGCGACTTTTTGAATCCGCACAGGAAAGTATCAACACACGGGATCATTCTCTTATCCGTAGATAAGACTCCAGGATAAATTAGAGATTAATATTCATAGTGGTATATGACCTACCTGTGTTTCTACACTTTTGTCATCGAGCAACACATTGTTTTCGCAGATCGGATACATTTGTTGTTGTTGTTGTTGTTGTTTCTCACATTAGCTCTAAAAAAGAAAGATTGGGAGCCCGTGGTCTCAAAACCCGGCATACACGACCCCACGAAGAAACAGAAAAAAATAGGGTACAAAAACCACTCGGAAGAGAAACAAAATGATAGAAAGAAAGACCAGCTACCGCACCAAACGAGAAAGAGCGTCGAGGAGACCGATCAAAATAAAATAAAAGGAGAACGGGGAACGCTTCCCACACCCGCCTACAACGCCGGAGGGTTCCG